CGATATTTGAATTCTTTGATTAGTTATTCTTTTTATTACATTGGCAAATGGCTTTTTTTATGAAATTAAAGTAGAAAATGTAAGGAACTATATCTTTTTCTACGCATTCACAATTTGTTTTGTTCCGACGTCTTGACAACACCTATTGTTGTATGACGTCAGAGGAGTGAAATAACCACGTTTATTTCACATGTGAAATTATCGGTTTTTATTTCACTGGGAAATCAATGTAATTCATTGCAACTAATGTAATAAAACATAATAAAAGCATGTGCATGGGTAAAATACAGGCTTCAATAGCTAGCTGCTTATACAATGTGTCGAGTTCTTAATCGAAAGTGATGAATAATACTAGTCAGAGCTGATATATCCTAACTTTTTAGACTAACGGAAAATATTCAGATATTGCCAACAACTACAGAAGAGGTTCTGAACTTGGGTCATGGAAATACTTTAGAAAAAATAATTATAACAATTTGTAGAGTTACTGCCTTGCCAAGGAGCTGATGAAAAATTAGTATTTCAATTAAGAACTAAGGAGGCTCAAGGGTACAAACAATTCAGCAAAAATATAAACATTTTTGTTTTCATTACAAATTTTATTTATTACACTATTAATTGTAACTTCATGATATGGTACAAAAATCAACCTGAAACATCAATTCGTTTTGGCCCGAGATGACTTTTAAAATGTTTACATCATTAAAAAAAGCTCCAAATTATCTCCCTTTGGTGAAAAAAATGCCATTTTTTTGCATTAAAATTTAAATATCTTTTTTAACTCATCGGTGACCTATATTTTTTATTATTTTTTTCATACAAGCTGTACTTTCACTAAACTATTGTAAAATTTAAGCTATTTCTGTAATTAGGTTCTTTTTTAAATTTCGATATTACCTTTTTTTCTCTTATTAGTTCAACAGAAAAAAGTACCTTAACAAAAATGCATGCTTTTTTCGAAGGCAGATTGTGAGCTAAAATGAACGGTAACCCCATATTTTTATTTTATTTTTCTATTAAGTATTGGATGAAGTTAATTTATACCAAAAAATAGCGATATCCTATATTTCAGAAAAAATTTGATTTATGCCCCCTTAATGTCATTTTCTGTTTATCTCAAGGATAAAGAATGATAACCAAACTTTATAAATTAAATAAAATAATTTTTCATTATTTTTTTCAGAGTAGTGCCAAGATCTAGACATTGATTTGGGAACATAAGAAGACTTCTATTAGAAGTGCATAAAATCTGACATAGATTTGGAATCCTGCTCTATAATGACGTCATTTTGGACATCAATTTAAGGAACAGACGTGGATCTATATATTGCATTTATGAGAACTCAATTTGAATTGTTTAAAAGGTCAGATAAGTCTCTAAATTGGTATTTTTCATATATTCTTTCGTGTATGTTTCTTGTGGCTTGCTTGCTCATTTGGTTTCTTTTCTAGACTTATAATAATCCACTCCTCTCCGGGAAGTGATCAGATTTTGATTTAAATTGAATGTTAAAACTGATCATTGACTGGGTAGGTTTGGTGGAAAATCAACAATGTGTTGTATCTTTTTGTAAGAATGGTACCTTTGGATTGCTCTATGTTTTTCAATTCTAGATGGGTTTAAACTTTTATTGTTAAAATATTCATCGGCTGTGTCTGTGTGATTTTGAAGATAGAATTGAAATTTCAGAAATTTTCATGATGATATTTTCCTGCAGATTTCAGTAGTCTGAACACAACAAAGTTTTTATTGCAGTCAATTGTTGCTCTTGTTGATCATTGTTCAGCATTAATCAAGATTTAAAAAAAATATGCCTTACGCAGTCAATTGCATAAAAATGTTTATTCACCAGTATTCATAATTCATCATTCTACCAAGTTATGAGTTTTGACATTTCCCCCATTCACGTCTTCGTTTTCATTTTAACTCTTTCTTCATATAACTTGAAAATTAAATTTACATCTTAGCTGAAGATGTCAAATTTTAACTTATTGAAAACCCATAACTAACCATAAAGATTTAGATTTATTGATTTAAAAAAAAATGGAGAAAGGGGGAGGGGGTTGCGTTATTTATTTGGTTTATTTGGGGGTTTATTTTGAATTTCACTGCCTTAAGTTTTCATTATGGCAAACATCTTCCTTAATTCATACACAGAATAAAGGATGTGGTGTGTTTTCAAATACACCAAACACTATTCTAAACCAATGTCTCAAGACATGGATGTGACAAAAATGTGTCTTGAGACATATCTCAAGACACAGTTTTATATGTCTCAAGATGTCTTTAAGACATGTCTTTAAGACATGGTGTCTATAAGACGCGTCTTGGAAATTTGTCTCGAGACATCTCAAGATGTCTCCAGACAATAAGGTTCATTTGCTATGTTGTATACGAAAAATGAGTCTGGCGTACAAAATGTAGATCCTGGTACCTATGATGAGTTTATTGAAACAGACCATAAACCGTTACAAACACCACCAAGACTCAGCGTCTTCTTTTGACATACAAATTACAATTTAACATACAATACAAACAATGAAAACTTATGTTTCTAGCCGATCACTTCAGTTGAAATTACCTAATCGAAACAAAAAAATATTTGGTTCCTGATTAATCTGTGAATGAACAGAGTCTATTATTGTATTTACCGATCTCAGAACAGATGTATGATCGATTTTAAAAAAAAACAACAGCAGAAAATAATGAACCCAAAGTTCCAAAGAATGGACTACATTACAGGTCAAATAAAATTGAATCGAAAAATATGCAACGTGAAATGTTAAATAAAATCCGCAAATCGCATATTAGAATTAACAAATGTAAAGCTCAAAAACGAGATGTATTCTTTTGGAATGAATGGAATGGCTGTACAAATAGAAGGTTTTATCAGCAAATGTTTAAAATGTCAAGAGAATCAAAAGGATCAAACAAAAGAACTACTTGGTAGAGCTACTTGGGGAGACCGTTGTCGAAAGTTGCCGCAAATATTTTCCATGACTAAATAGATAAGAACTAATGTACTGCATTATGATTTACACTTAGGCCTTGATGTGCTCTTTTACACTTTTGCTCGCATACATCAAACAAATATGAAATTAGAATCAATTTTTAAATCATGTGTTACCATTTGCTTTGTAACTACCTTCATGGCTCTCATTATCAATAAATATTTTGTATTGGTGACCCCCTCCCACTCCCCCCCCCCCCACCCAATCTCCCAATTTTGCTGGATTCGCTTCTGATTACTCGTATTGCTGCTTGAGCAATTTTTGTGTAAGGATAACCCCACTGTTGATAAAGTCTGTATAGTGTGAACATGCATGAAAGTGACGTATTAATTGAGATATGTATATGACTATAAACAAAGTTATTCATTGTTAACAGGAATACATACACAACAGCATAGCAGCAGTTTATAACAGGTAGACAAAGTGTGATAAGGGCAAGAAATACTGTAAATATTGAACGTTGAAGTTCTTATTTCCAGATATTGAAGGAAAAAAACATTATTACAAATTTCATTTTCTTATGACATTATACAAGGAAAAACTAATTTACTTACACACATCCAAAGTATCTGAATTTCTCATCAGAGTAATACCATTGCTTGTTTAGCTTTACCTGTGCAAATGCCTCCGATACTACAAGCTGCAGATTTAAATTTTGTCTGTTATCAATTTTGTTTTCTCGATCTCTACATGATTCATACTTCAAACAACAATGCATTGCCCTGTCATTGGTTTCTGCGTTGCATGTATTTCCTTTTACTTTGGTACAATTGTTACATGACATTGAAAAGATTACATATTTATCCAGTGTAAATCCTGAAAACATTCCATCATCATGTATAATAACAAACATGCCGTAGGTGCAATCACTATTACTCAACTCTTCTTGGAAATGGTTGTTGTGTGAAAGAAAATCAGAAAAAAATTGTCCAACTCCTTTCAGCGAAATTCTTCATAACAAAAACTGTTTTCACCTTCACACTTCGATATTAGCCAGGAATCAACCTCTAATTTAAAAAAAAAATTTGCATGTTGTAATGTCATCTTTCGGTAAGGATTTCCTTAACAAGAATTATGCACCACATTAAAAAACAGGTGCATTAGGAAATTAAGTCAGTTTTCTACATCTAATAAAGAACGAGGTTAAATCTTTATATATTAATTACCTGATCTTTCGCACCAAACAAGCAACCAGGTTCAGGTAGTGCACTTCTTTATTTTAATAAAGCAACTTGTCTGCTTTATATTTCAAAACTCTTGTTGTATTCTTGGAAAAAGGCAATGTATTGCTTGACATTATTAATCCTGTAACATATTTGAATATACGACCCCCTAAAAGTGACCAAATTTATTACCATATATTGTATAACGCAGAAGAATATACATGGAATTGTAATCTTCATCGTATGCATAGGCGCAGATTCAGTCAATAATTATTGTATTTACTACTTCTGAATTATTTCAGCACCCCAATACTTCGAATTTACGATATCCATAAGTCATTAAGGACCTCTTAAAATATTTTAGGACCTCCATAATTTGATTTTTCAAGATATCCTGAAATATTTCAAGACCTTCATAATTTGAATTTCAGAGGTTCTGAAATATTTCTGGAGCTCCTTGAATACAACGATTAATAATGTCATTGTTGTTTATATTTGAAATAAGACTTATCAAATTCTTCAATTTTGAACATGTTTTTCGATACTTTACAGTTATGCAGAATATCAATTGTGTTATTACTCAATTATGTAATGCTATCGAAATCTGGGACAAACACCTTTAATTGAAAGAGGCCTGGAATGGGGCTCAAGTAAACCTCTTTCCATAAAATGTCCACAAATTCAGTTTGTGGGCATACATACATAAATTCCATTGGCAAATAAATAATATGTAAAGTTTAAACAAAAAGAAAATTATAGCTATGACATTGTTTCCTGTATATTATTTAAATACACACCTCTAGACTTATCTATCGACTACACCGTGTACATGTCATACTTCCTTAATTTGACCTATATAGCTAACGAAAAATGGCGACGTCAAAATCTATTAATCTTGGAGAAGCGCAAATTCTATGTGTATGTCATCTGTGTGAAGATGAAAAACAAATTATATGGAAATGCCTAGAATGTTCCCTGTTGATGTGTGATAAATGTAAAAGGAAAGTACACGTGAAATTCAACACAGCTGACGAACATAATGTCATCAAGGTAACAAATATCGGGAAGGATTGTTCCTTTCAGCCAAATCTTTTTGTTTTATGCGATGAACACCCTGAACAAAAGATTTGCATATTTTGTAAGAAGTGTAATCAGTTAGTCTGCCCTGTCTGTCTTTCCGAAAAACATAAAGATCATTTTTTCGAGAGTTTGAAAGTCGCATATGAGGAAAAATTTCAAAGTTTAAAATACTTTCAGGATAAACTAAAAGAGGATTTGGCTTTTCATTCAATATGTGAAAAAGAACTTAGTGACAGGACAAAATCGAATAGATGTTTTTACGAGAATGTGAAGAAAACAATTTTAGAACAAGAGGAAAGGTTTAAGAAGGCAATTGAGAATGAAACCCAATCCAGACTTAAAATTCTTGGAGACCGATTCAAAGAAATAAATATAAAGACAATAAAAGCACAAAACACAAACGTCAACGCACAAAAAGAAGTAGGTTCAATCTTGGAATCAGTTAATTTAGCTATAGATACAGGTAGTTTAAAAAGTGTAATTGAAACAGAACAATCCGTTAAGTCTTGGACAGAGCCCGAAAAGACTTATCGAGTTATTGATATCAATCCAATTGAACTAAAATGTGGTTCAATTGACCAAACTCAAATTTCGGAAATGTTTGGGTCTTTAAAAGAAGTTTCGGATACAGTACAGATTGAAGTCCTTTATTCTTACAGAAGTAAAGCCATTTTCAATAACATACAGCCCTGCCAAGATGGGTCAGTTTGGGTGAGTGATAAATACTCATGCTTGAGAAATATGGAATTGGGAAACGAAATTCAACAACGACAAGAAGTAAAGGATATAAGTGTTGAAGAAATGCTCGAAAGTGAAAAAGGCGAAGTAATTTTATCTCTTTCTGGACAATCAAAACTTGTAACATTGGCAGACGACGGTAAATTAAAGGATTTTATAGATTTTTCGCCATTTATTTCTCGACCACTCCATATAACAAAATCTGGTAAGATAGTAGTGGGAATTTGTGAAGAAATTTCGTACAAATTGTCAGAAAATAGTGTAAGGCAAATCATCATCATTGAGGCGAGTGGGAAAAAAATGCATACATTTGAATTCGATGCTGACCATAAACGAATATTAACATATGCTCTAAAAGCAACAACAAATATTAACAATGATTTGTATGTGATTGACAAGACATCTAAAGACAAACACGGTCGTCTTCTGTCGCTTGCTTATCCAAATAAACTTATGTGGACGTATACGGGAAATACAACTATAAACTCAAAACTTCAGTTCAAACCGAATTGTCTTGCTGTAACTGCAACCGGAAATATTGTTTTGTTAGACTCCGATACTAAAGTTCTACATATTTTAGATATAAGAGGTGCTTTAAAAACCTTTGTTTCATTATTAAATGTTCACGTGATTAGCCCTGAGTTTATGTGTATTGACGGACAAGAGAGATTGTGGATCAGTTGTGGGGGATTGTCTTCAGATTCTTATATGACGTATTTTACTAATATATTTCAAGGAATGCTTGTTGTCATGTCTTTTACTGGGTTTTGAAATTAAAGATGAAATTAATGCATCGTTATTATTATTTCAAGTTACTTTTATTGAAATTGTGAATGATTTTTATTTATTTGGATAAAGTACAAGATTACCTGTATTCTTGAGTGAGCTCTTTTAACACACAAAGAACCCATTGTTTTATTATATTTTGAAAAAAGAACTGACACTGACGAAGGCCATTTGCTGTGCCAAATATCTGTTAATAGAATTTAATATGCTCGTTGACCCAATAATGTATTCCATTGATATTATTTTATCCTTGAACAATGGATTGTAACTGATAATATTGTTAACACACTCGGTTGACGATTGACAAAATTTAAAAGTTTGATTATTATACCTTTTATTTTGTTAGTCAGTAAAATTATAATGATAACAAGTAATACCTGTAATGTCTCAGGACGAAAACATAAAATCGAATTGTCGACTGCAAACAAAAAATGGAGCAAATTTTGTCCTTATAACATGTAAATTATAAAGTTACAATCACTAAATGCTTTAGAGTTGTGAATTAACAAATGAATGTTATATTCAGAGCCCCTCTAGTTGTGCAAGTCCGTCGCTGGTTTTAAGACGCAAGTGCTGCCAAATTCTTGCCCACTAAATGGTAGCCTGGCATCCTGGCTAAACTTCTCTTCGCTGAGTTCTACTGTCGAGCAGTTAGTCAGGATCCCAGGCTAACCGAATGGACTAAAACAAAATACAAAACGACAAGTTCAATATGAAACATAACACAAATGGAAATGTTATAAATGTAAAGCTCAAAAACGAGATGTATTCTTTTGGAATGAATGGAATGGCTGTACAAATAGAAGGTTTTATCAGCAAATGTTTAAAATGTCAAGAGAATCAAAAGGATCAAACAAAAGAACTACTTGGTAGAGCTACTTGGGGAGACCGTTGTCGAAAGTTGCCGCAAATATTTTCCATGACTAAATAGATAAGAACTAATGTACTGCATTATGACTTACACTTAGGCCTTGATGTGCTCTTTTACACTTTTGCTCGCATACATCAAACAAATATGAAATTAGAATCAATTTTTTAAATCATGTGTTACCATTTGCTTTGATACTACCTTCATGGCTCTCATTATCAATAAATATTTTGTATTGGTGACCCCCTCCCACTCCCCCCCCCCCCCCCCCACCCAATCTCCCAATTTTGCTGGATTCGCTTCTGATTCCTCGTATTGCTGCTTGAGCAATTTTTGTTTAAGGATAACCCCACTGTTGATAAAGTCTGTATAGTGTGAACATGCATGAAAGTGACGTATTAATTGAGATATGTATATGACTATAAACAAAGTTATTCATTGTTAACAGGAATACATACACAACAGCATAGCAGCAGTTTATAACAGGTAGACAAAGTGTGATAAGGGCAAGAAATACTGTAAATATTGAACGTTGAAGTTCTTATTTCCAGATATTGAAGGAAAAAAACATTATTACAAATTTCATTTTCTTATGACATTATACAAGGAAAAACTCATTTACTTACACACATCCAAAGTATCTGAATTTCTCATCAGAGTAATACCATTGCTTGTTTAGCTTTACCTGTGCAAATGCCTCCGATACTACAAGCTGCAGATTTAAATTTTGTCTGTTATCAATTTTGTTTTCTCGATCTCTACATGATTCATACTTCAAACAACAATGCATTGCCCTGTCATTGGTTTCTGCGTTGCATGTATTTCCTTTTACTTTGGTACAATTGTTACATGACATTGAAAAGATTACATATTTATCCAGTGTAAATCCTGAAAACATTCCATCATCATGTATAATAACAAACATGCCGTAGGTGCAATCACTATTACTCAACTCTTCTTGGAAATGGTTGTTGTGTGAAAGAAAATCAGAAAAAAATTGTCCAACTCCTTTCAGCGAAATTCTTCATAACAAAAACTGTTTTCACCTTCACACTTCGATATTAGCCAGGAATCAACCTCTAATTTAAAAAAAATTTTGCATGTTGTAATGTCATCTTTCGGTAAGGATTTCCTTAACAAGAATTATGCACCACATTAAAAAACAGGTGCATTAGGAAATTAAGTCAGTTTTCTACATCTAATAAAGAACGAGGTTAAATCTTTATATATTAATTACCTGATCTTTCGCACCAAACAAGCAACCAGGTTCAGGTAGTGCACTTCTTTATTTTAATAAAGCAACTTGTCTGCTTTATATTTCAAAACTCTTGTTGTATTCTTGGAAAAAGGCAATGTATTGCTTGACATTATTAATCCTGTAACATATTTGAATATACGACCCCCTAAAAGTGACCAAATTTATTACCATATATTGTATAACGCAGAAGAATATACATGGAATTGTAATCTTCATCGTATGCATAGGCGCAGATTCAGTCAATAATTATTGTATTTACTACTTCTGAATTATTTCAGCACCCCAATACTTCGAATTTACGATATCCATAAGTCATTAAGGACCTCTTAAAATATTTTAGGACCTCCATAATTTGATTTTTCAAGATATCCTGAAATATTTCAAGACCTTCATAATTTGAATTACAGAGGTTCTGAAATATTTCAGGAGCTCCTTGAATACAACGATTAATAATGTCATTGTTGTTTATATTTGAAATAAGACTTATCAAATTCTTCAATTTTGAACATGTTTTTCGATACTTTACAGTTATGCAGAATATCAATTGTGTTATTACTCAATTATGTAATGCTATCGAAATCTGGGACAAACACCTTTAATTGAAAGAGGCCTGGAATGGGGCTCAAGTAAACCTCTTTCCATAAAATGTCCACAAATTCAGTTTGTGGGCATACATACATAAATTCCATTGGCAAATAAATGATATGTAAAGTTTAAACAAAAAGAAAATTATAGCTATGACATTGTTTCCTGTATATTATTTAAATACACACCTCTAGACTTATCTATCGACTACACCGTGTACATGTCATACTTCCTTAATTTGACCTATATAGCTAACGAAAAATGGCGACGTCAAAATCTATTAATCTTGGAGAAGCGCAAATTCTATGTGTATGTCATCTGTGTGAAGATGAAAAACAAATTATATGGAAATGCCTAGAATGTTCCCTGTTGATGTGTGATAAATGTAAAAGGAAAGTACACGTGAAATTCAACACAGCTGACGAACATAATGTCATCAAGGTAACAAATATCGGGAAGGATTGTTCCTTTCAGCCAAATCTTTTTGTTTTATGCGATGAACACCCTGAACAAAAGATTTGCATATTTTGTAAGAAGTGTAATCAGTTAGTCTGCCCTGTCTGTCTTTCCGAAAAACATAACGATCATTTTTTCGAGAGTTTGAAAGTCGCATATGAGGAAAAATTTCAAAGTTTAAAATACTTTCAGGATAAACTAAAAGAGGATTTGGCTTTTCATTCAATATGTGAAAAAGAACTTAGTGACAGGACAAAATCGAATAGATGTTTTTACGAGAATGTGAAGAAAACAATTTTAGAACAAGAGGAAAGGTTTAAGAAGGCAATTGAGAATGAAACCCAATCCAGACTTAAAATTCTTGGAGACCGATTCAAAGAAATAAATATAGAGACAATAAAAGCACAAAACACAAACGTCAACGCACAAAAAGAAGTAGGTTCAATCTTGGAATCAGTTAATTTAGCTATAGATACAGGTAGTTTAAAAAGTGTAATTGAAACAGAACAATCCGTTAAGTCTTGGACAGAGCCCGAAAAGACTTATCGAGTTATTGATATCAATCCAATTGAACTAAAATGTGGTTCAATTGACCAAACTCAAATTTCGGAAATGTTTGGGTCTTTAAAAGAAGTTTCGGATACAGTACAGATTGAAGTCCTTTATTCTTACAGAAGTAAAGCCATTTTCAATAACATACAGCCCTGCCAAGATGGGTCAGTTTGGGTGAGTGATAAATACTCATGCTTGAGAAATATGGAATTGGGAAACGAAATTCAACAACGACAAGAAGTAAAGGATATAAGTGTTGAAGAAATGCTCGAAAGTGAAAAAGGCGAAGTAATTTTATCTCTTTCTGGACAATCAAAACTTGTAACATTGGCAGACGACGGTAAATTAAAGGATTTTATAGATTTTTCGCCATTTATTTCTCGACCACTCCATATAACAAAATCTGGTAAGATAGTAGTGGGAATTTGTGAAGAAATTTCGTACAAATTGTCAGAAAATAGTGTAAGGCAAATCATCATCATTGAGGCGAGTGGGAAAAAAATGCATACATTTGAATTCGATGCTGACCATAAACGAATATTAACATATGCTCTAAAAGCAACAACAAATATTAACAATGATTTGTATGTGATTGACAAGACATCTAAAGACAAACACGGTCGTCTTCTGTCGCTTGCTTATCCAAATAAACTTATGTGGACGTATACGGGAAATACAACTATAAACTCAAAACTTCAGTTCAAACCGAATTGTCTTGCTGTAACTGCAACCGGAAATATTGTCTTGTTAGACTCCGATACTAAAGTTCTACATATTTTAGATATAAGAGGTGCTTTAAAAACCTTTGTTTCATTATTAAATGTTCACGTGATTAGCCCTGAGTTTATGTGTATTGACGGACAAGAGAGATTGTGGATCAGTTGTGGGGGATTGTCTTCAGATTCTTATATGACGTATTTTACTAATATATTTCAAGGAATGCTTGTTGTCATGTCTTTTACTGGGTTTTGAAATTAAAGATGAAATTAATGCATCGTTATTATTATTTCAAGTTACTTTTATTGAAATTGTGAATGATTTTTATTTATTTGGATAAAGTACAAGATTACCTGTATTCTTGAGTGAGCTCTTTTAACACACAAAGAACCCATTGTTTTATTACATTTTGAAAAAAGAACTGACACTGACGAAGGCCATTTGCTGTGCCAAATATCTGTTAATACAATTTAATATGCTCGTTGACCCAATAATGTATTCCATTGATATTATTTTATCCTTGAACAATGGATTGTAACTGATAATATTGTTAACACACTCGGTTGA